TAAAAGAGGACATTTATTTTGATGAAACACGATTCGTTTCCCATTGGTTTAAAAAAATTCGCACTAATCAAATGTCTCAAATGCTTAATATACCTACATATAAATTTATATGAACGCAGACCGTTTACATTTAAATATAAGTAATACTTAACATTAAATGATTAATACAACCATCATTAATTTACAAAACTATTAAAAACCAAATTCAGATAACAACGTTGACTCTCATTAATAATTAACAGAACATTATCTAAGCAGTTGAAATACAAAAAAAAAAAAAAAAAAAAAAAAAAAAAAAAAAAAAAAAAAAAAAAAAATTGTTCGCTACCCACACGCGAACTATATAAACCACAGATACCATATCGACAACATAATTTCCATATACTTGCACCCAAAACAGCACCAAGACATCATGATTCCTTACAAAAGAACAAATATGACACCGCTTTACAAGCAATACAGTTAACGTAAGTTTTACTAAAACCATGGTAGTTCATTAATCTATTGATTTCATTATTTTCTTAATCATACAAAAAATGATATTATGCAAAATGGTTAAACATACAACTAATAACAATAAGATAGTGGTTTATTCCGCAATATTCTTGTAACAATAAATGGTTAACCATACAAATGACTCTGCCAAACCATGTGCATCGTTAGTTGTTAATAGTTTTCTAATACATAAAAAAATAAATGTGTTTTAGGATCCATATTTAACTGAGTCATATTTGGCACTTATTTATTCTTAATTGTTTAATCATAAGGTAATGGTATTGTGATTCCCAACTATGGATTTTTTTTTTTTTTTAACTATTATGAATTTGTGCTTCAAAACCATTACTTACCATACAATTTACAAGTGCAAATCTCTGAACAAACAAGCAAACATAAAACAGATATTACAAATAATGGACATTTCGAAGCAACGACACAAACTGCTAACAATAACAGCAATGAGACTTTTAATTCTAAAGACACTTGCAGAAGCAGAAAATAAACAAGCTTTGCTACTATTGGGAACATATTTGTTCTTCATCGAACATGATATATATATATGGGATTAAAACTACTGATTGCAGTTTGCCAAAAGTATAACATGCAACAATATATCACACTGTCATTGCTCTGCTTACTGTATATGACAACAGAGGTATACAAATTATAATGAAATTAGTAAAACTATCTAATCATTTCTACAAACTGAAATATTGCAGGGAAGAATTCAAGTCCCTGACTCCAATTGCCACAATTCTCATTAAAAGACGAACATTTGGGAATCGCAACAAGGAGAATCAAAATCATATAACAAATCAACGTCACCAGAAAATATCACATGCATAGATGTAACTTGGATTACTAAATAGTTTGTATGAAATTTAATTTTTAGTAAGTTTGTTGTGTAATTTCTTGCACACGTACAAATTTAAATGTTTTTTAGTTTAATATAAAAATAGAAGTTAAAACTCACTCAGTTATCAACGATTGATCCAAATATTTAATAACTTATAAAGAAAAATTGATCACAAAATTACAATGATCAGTAAAACGTAAACAATATTTAATAAAAATATTAAACACCAATAATTATGACAATTTCAAATAATTAAACATGTTTGACAAATAGCAATCTAAATACTGCTCCTATAATATATAAAAATAAATTTCCATTCCATTATTCATTAGATTAAATTCTACGTTGAACCACAACATATTTTGGAAACCCGCCTGCCGAACCATTATTAACTAGTTATTACGCTTTCCTTTAATGTGCTGCAAACAATTTTGCTACCGTTTCGTATCTCATCGCCCAATAAGTTGTCAACACTTTTTCAATCAACGTGTCTATTTGTTACTAAATGTCTATTAATTTTCCGGAAGCAACTTTTCTATTGTGTGATACAGTACTCCAAAAATTGATTGGGTTGTTATGTTCTCAACTGCATCCCAAAAACTTTGAATGTCTGTTCAAACATTCTCGCATAAAAGATGAGTTCAAATTTATTCCGTCTGTTTGTTTCCTATATCTACTTACATAAAACAAGTTAAGATATATTCTAATGTGAAGTAATAAAATTTTAATTACAAGACTAAAATACTGGATAAAACATAAACAATATTTAATATTTTAATAGATATTTAATAACAATATTAGACAAAACTATTTATAAAAATGTTAAAAAATTGAACATATTCAACAAACATCAATCTAAATATATTATAATCTTAATTAAAAAAACTAGAAATAACAATTTCTATTATAGATTTAAAAAAACTTTTGTAGCATTATTGATCAAACAAGATCGAAGCCGAACTATATCCATGTTTCATAACCATATTGCCAAACCACAATCAAAAAATTAATAAATATATTATGACATCATCATATCATCTCTGACTGTAATACTTGACAAAATATTTATTGTCCTTCATTTAAAAATGTATCAATAAGATTTTATTATTAGTAAATCATAATGTTTATTTATTATAATATCTCAACATCTTGCCAAACCATCATTAACTACCTGACTAATATATTGCACACTTACCAAAATGTTTATTACGGTTTTCTTTAATATTGTACCAATAGTCTACTAACGTTTCGTATTACCTTATCCAAATAATTATTAGCACTTTTTCAATTGACACGTTTATTTATTACCAGTTGTATGTTTATATTCCACCTCTTTGTATGCTATTTTCCTATAAATATTACTCTGACATCTGTCACTCATTTAACTTTCTTCAGATAATATACACTTTAATTGTTCATTTCTTCTCCACAACTTAATTCGAAAATGGCTAACAAAACATCACAACCAAAAGAATCTACAACGATCTCAATAACAATAATTCTCCACTAAGGCAACCAGAAGGTATGAATGTTCCACATTTTTCGTATCCTAAATTACAAAATGTCAAACAAAACGATGATACATATTTGCGAGAATATAAAAACAATTAAAAAAAATTGATATGTCAAGAGTTCATCTCATAATTATATTTACACATTCATGTTATCGTTTCTGTATATTTATAAAATTTGACTATATATTGTTTCTGCAATTGGTTTAGACATTTTTCACTTTTCAGGGAATACCGGAGTTAAGGGAGATTTTCAAAATAGTTGACACCAATTTGGATGATCTACATACTGTTAGAGACAAATTCAGAGAAGTCATTGACCAGATGTTAGAAATCATAGAATCTGTCATGGATATTATTTATAACATAAACAAAAGAGGAGCAACTATAAGAAAAATAGAAAATAAAGTCTACATCATCCAAACCCACTTCACAGTATGAAAAACCGATATACTTATTTCTTTTATAATAAAAGTATTATAATCTATATTCATCTTTATCTTGATTTTGATGTTACTCATTAATTGATTGAAAATTGTTCCTTTAATTGACACATTGCATTTACTGTTTAACGAATCTACTAAAAATTCTCCATCATGACACGTTAATTTTGATTTAATTCTTCAATCTTCACACATTGGATGAGTATTAATAATAATTATATAAGTGCATTACATAGGCATTCCAAAAATCTAACTATTTTAAATAAAAATGTATAAAGATGGAAGTTAGTTTGTTTTCAAACCTTGGTTGGAGAGAATCATATACTATCAGAAAAAAAATTTACCAGTCAATATCAGACCTGAAAATGAACTCAATATAAATTTTAAATTTAAATAATTGATTTGGATAATATTAATTGATATTAATAATTATAAAGATACAATTATTAATTTTATCTTAACACAACTCTGTACATATATAGAAGTTATATTTACTTTAAATCTTGTATAATTTAACAGTTATTATCTCTTAATCTAATTACTTTATTATATTAGAATAAATTTGTTTATAACCTATTTTAAAAATATCAAATAAACATACCCGTGTGACACGTTGGCCCATGTGTAGTGGATTATAAATTAAGACAATTATGCTGCTGATTATCTGTGTCCATGTGAATCTTAGTTGGAGTCTCTTTTACAAAAGAAATAAGATACGATTCAGTTTCAACTGGATATCATTAATAACATGATTTGAACGTTTGAAAGTCAAGAATATTTATTCCATTCGTTGACTACCTCAATCAATAAAAATAAATAAATAAATAAACATGATTTACTAATTTTAGAAACTAGAGCAAAAATTTTGAAAACCAAGGTTAGATTTTTTTTATCTAGCCTTCTAAAATGTTTGTTAGTTGTTTGGATTAAAGATTTAAATAACGTGGAGTAATCGTGATGCATCTCTGCATGCAACTATCAAATCAAATATAAGACTTTAAATTCTGGTAGAATTTATTATCTTAAACTACTTACATGAAGGCTCAAAACTCAAAAACTGAAATGAGAGGAAAAATTTCACTAAAAAAAGAAAAGGAATAATGTTACATCTACAACTTCTTCTTACAAACTTTTTTTAATAATCTTATCATGACAACTCACAATTAATTAATCATAATTTATCAGGTGAATTTCATTATGAATGACCAATTACAAACTATCATATCGAAGTTGTGATAGAAAATTTATAAATATAACATTTTCCTTAAAGGAACAAATTATTGGACTGTGAGAGAGGCTATTGTATTGTGTACAACATCTCAAAATACAATAATACAAAAAAATTTAAGATGGTCTTAAAAATAGAAAATGATACAGTCACCAAAAAAGGAACACCAAATTCATATACCGATAGACGTAACACTATCATAACCGTTGCTTAATTATAAATTTTATTTTAAAAAAAAACGAATGGTGTCACATCTGTTCTGTTCGGTGCATGAATTCGGTATACTTTTTCGATAACTGTAACATTACCTTTTAAAAATATATCAAATCATTTCAACTAAACTATCATTTCTTTTTCCAAAAATATAAATCTGAACTTCAATTCTATATCACGTGCAAGCTTAATCTGATCCTGCTAGCTTGACAAGAAAAAAGAGTAATTGAATCTACGACAATGCGAGGGACTTGAAAAGGTATTTTAATCTGAACATTAACATTCATTTACAAATTTCAGATGCAATAGATCTCGACCACCTAAATAGATAATAGTATACCCCCAGTAACAAAAAGGTACAAATATTCAGAAGTATTTTCCATGAGCAGCTGCAGCAGACTGGTGATAGAATTAGCATAAACTAGTAAACCAGTAAACTGTCAGTAAAATATTATAGCAACAGTGTGCATCCAACCCTATATCCTATTATGGTGACACTGATTTGTTTTTAAGTGTACACCATTTTTCTTGATCAGTTATAAAAAAATGGACTGAGAAAAAACAGCCATTTTCTAGCCTTGCCTGTAAACCATAAGTTAGAATATATGCTCCAGCATCCAGAACAGTCTAATGCAGCACTTCCATGCAATAATGAACTATAGACAACTCCATTCGGCCAAAAAGAGAGCTTGACCTTGTGTTATTCATGACCCAAAACCTGCAGAACCAAAAGTACTTAACCCGCAACTACTATGATGATATACTTCAGCTGACATGACTAATAAGATACCTGCATCTTCCTCCCATCTTCCATTGAAGATTATTAAATCACGTCAGGTAATATTCGCTTATATTATCAACAAAATAATCATACTGTCCATTCCCTCCATAATCAAACTTTTCATTAGTTGGTGGGGCAATGTTTGGAGCAGGATAAACATTTCCGCCAACACCAACCTTTGCATTAACTTTGGCCCGCCCTTTAACTAAGCGCTTGTTATCAGTGGGAAACTCAGCAGTGAGCCTTCCCATCTGCTTCTGTAGATCAAGGACTGAATCATTTGATATTTTCCCCTTAGAATTCTTCTTTCCATCAACAAGCTTCAATTCCAATCTATACAAGGCACAAGCATCACACTTATTGATCTCATACTCATAAAGGTGCCACTCAAAATGGTTCAGTGGTTGTGGATCCATGTAGTAGGATCTCTTCAAGCCTCCATATTCATTCATCACTTGCTTTCTTGACTCATGCCAACCACGTCCACTGTAATCTGGCAATGACCTCTGCTTTCTGTTTCCACTCTCAAAAGCTCTTCGAGGCTTATCAAAAAACAGCCACTCCCTAATTGTTTCACCATCAAGAACCGAAAGATCAAAAAGCTCTGCAATCACATAAGAAATAAATTGGTCATAATAAAGCTACAAAATACATAATACATGGTTAGAGAAATAGTCTTCAAACAAAAACAGAAATTGCTACCATAACAATGACAATATACTTACCAGGAGCGTTCCATGGAGACTTCGAAGTTGCAGCTCCTTCACATTCTGGGATACCAACATCTTTCCCTTGCACCTTGGCACCAAGTGCAGAAAAAAGCAGACCATCTTTCAGGCCAATGCCTCCAGGTCGTAGAACTGGGCCCATCCCAGGTGGGCCTTCACTCAATGCTAAAGCAGCATGAAAACTGCTGCAATAATCCTGACACCAGTCTACACCCTGAGCAGGCCTTGGACAATCCCAAAGTGCACATTTTGGGCCCAAGAAAGCAGAAGGTGGAGGACACAGACTTGGCAGATAGCCAGAAATCTGATGCATAGCATCCTCCCCACAGAAATTTGTACCATTAAAACCAGTATAGAAGTTTTGTTCGAAATCTTGATGCAAATCAAAATGATGATAGTCTGACTGTGTAGCCCCTTCCAAGTTGCTAATCCCCATACTACGAACTCCTGAATGGGAGTTTTTGCATTGATCAACCAATAAGAAATGATGCTGCTGCTGTTGCCCATGATTTACACCATATCCCTGAAACACATCAATCATAAATTCACCAGTGAGTGCCCTTCTCAGAACCAATGTTTTGTCAATGAGAAATCAAGTGCAAATGTAGAAAAATAAAAAATATAAGTACAACTCTGTGGGAAGAAAAAGAATCTAGAATGAGGCATGTGGATCTAATGCTTGAGCAGAAAAGACTACAGATTCTATTATTAAACAAGTAATTTCTTCTCTCTTCCCCTCTAAATTTAAATATATGAAGAAGCAATATTTGATGACCAGTATAGAATGTTCGCTTCCAATGGACTATCCAAGCACAAGAAGAAAGTGACACTAATCAAAATTCAATTCTGCAGCTCAGGTTCACCTCACCACACCCCATGATCACCAGAAGCCAGCTAGATGGCATGAACAAGCATCATATTTAATATTATTGATCTGGTAATTTTGGAGGATATAGCTCAAGTTGTGTTCCATCAACAGATCTGTATGTTGAGCAAATCTCTGGTGGAATAGAATTGCTCATGCACCCACACCCACACCCACACCCTCACCCTCACCCACCAACCAATGGCAAGCCCATTCAATATTTAGAGTGGTATTATGAGATATTCAAAAGTAATCAAAATTTTTACTTCTTGGTCCTCGGTTAAACTCAGGCACCAAACAAGTGCCACATACTGTGTCCAGAGTCGTCCTGGTATTATTCTTCCATTTCTTAGATAAAGATGATCTACCCCACACCTTCACAATAACTTCCATTCCTTTTAAGTATAGACACATACATAAAAAGGGCCAAAGGCACCTTCAAATGTCTGAAAACTAACTTACCACAGTTTGAAACCTGAAAACCAATCATGCACAATAATACAGGATACTAAGGATACAAGTAATATCTGTCACGTGTTTCCTTTCATTACATAATTAGGGAGGACAGAGCTACCATAGATTAATCCTAAGACAAAAAGACTGATGATTCGAGAGGGCAGCGAGCAAATCCTAAATAGTACTGAGCCGATGCAAGTCTATAGATTACCTCCACAGGGGAAAATTTGTGTTGTATTTACAAAGATCTTGGTGCTGCCCTAAGCAATAGAATACACACTCAGCGACTGGGTATATCCAGTCACTTGTTTAAAAAGACACTAGCCACACCCAACAATACATATGTCATGAAGAAACTTAGCCACATCCTCTCAAGAGATCAAGGCAGTTGGCAGGGGCTTTGGATGAGATGAGCACGACAAATACCCAACTCGATGTAACCCTCAAGCCACCAAGCCATGGCCCTCAAACCATTCCATGCCTGCCAAGGTAGCTTAGATATAGGTCAGTCATGTTCCCAACTCAAACATATCAAAACATTAGAGGAGGTTTATCTAGCTCGCAACCCTTCAACATCAAGTGATTGAAGGAATCCCTAATTCTTTCCCTCATAAATTTGATCATCAAGGCATTAATTAGGACTATTTCCAAAGGTTGCAATGTAATTGCCCTTGTTGGAGAGTTCCTCAAAGATTTGGCATGCTATGCCTCTACAATCTGACACCTGAGGTGTCCCAAGAGGATCTTACATGTATTGGCATCTCGAATTTTGCCACGTGATGCTATTACAGACAGGAAAAAAAAAAAAAAAAAGGTTTCAACTCCAATAGAGTTACACTTTTGGTAATTAGAAACAGCCTTTTATGCCTCCCCAAAAGTATTGAGAAGTCCCCATTGGCATGCCATATTCAATCTCCTAAACCATGATTAAGTGTCAAGCCAAGTAACCTTGTGGACTCTCTAAAACTAAATCAAACCCTTCACGTACGTCAGTTAAGAGGGTTTGAGCTTACCTAGTCATCTATCTATCATCTCCAATAACCATATTTGAAAACTTCAATACTCTGGCTATATGATGTGAAAATGAAAGAATAAGCTAATATATCTTTTTCCAGTTCTAAATGCTAAATTCCATATTCAATTTTCCATAAAAGTTGAGCAGTACATCTTGAATAATTTATATTCGGTCCAACTACTGCATAAAGCTCTTAACAAAACTTTGTAAAGAAAACCCACACAAAAGTCACAAACAGTTATAAAATACCACCTCATGAAAGGCTGCACCATCTCCAACCTGCAGGATTTGATCATTGGGCTCCGGCTTCGGAGCAGTTAATGTGCTAGTGGCATCATCTTCCTCATCACAAAGTTGCAACAGCCGATAAATGTCAGATGAAAACGACCCAAGAGTACCATCCTGTATTCATCCATAAAGATCACAATCCATGAATCCATGTTTTAATTAAACCACACATGCGCATATTCACAACTGTGCTCCAAAAGAGTTCAAATCCATGACATCAGAACGTGATAGACATATGGGGAAAATGAAAAAGGCCCAACACTAACTCAATAATCTCCCACAAACCACTTGCAGTCAAATCTTTGAACTAAAATACCACCTATTGCTATTGCATTCACTTGTTTCAATTATACACAAACTGACACATACAAAACATATAATGGGATAAGCACAAGTCACCAACAAGAAAAACCAAAGACTTCCACTCTATAACTACATACACTCATATGCAGACACAAATTTATATTCAAATACCAAAATGTGATTAATAAAATTCAGAATCACATTTGATGTGCTCTAACTGCAATATACACATAGGCAATGTATACAGTACTGATAATGGGATAAATAAATTATACCTGTTGCAAAGAAGATGCAGGTGAAGGCTCATTGAGCTCAGCTTTCCATTCACGGAGCATCTGGTGGACTTGTTCTTCAAGCACAGCCACATCAATGCTGCGACTCTCCTTCCTCGCATATTGCAGATCCATGAACATGCCTTGCAGATCATCAACTCGGTTTTTGGCTTTGTCCTTAAAAAGCTTGTGCGAAGCTGACTTGCAGTTAGTCTTAGAGCCCTTCCCCATCATGGCACAATCCCTTTTGTCAAGTCTCTAGCAATTTCCCTGCAACTAAAACCCAAAAAAGCCAATTTGAGATCACCCCATTAAAAGATACCAACTTTTCCAATGAATTCAGTCTCAATTGCAATTAAAGACATGCAAAAACAAATATCAACTGAGACTAAGACTAACACATATATAGTAAGAACGCACCAAATTCTAATAACAAAATTATAAGCCGAACAAAGAAAAAAAAAATACTACAATAATAGTTGAATCATGATAATAAAACATAGAGAATAACCCATATATTAGAATCCAAACCAACAAAATCAACACATAGCAACATCAAATCTAGCTTAAACTGAGAAAATAATATCTTAATAAACGAAATAGAACAATCAGAATATCAGATCAAACAAACATGATAGAATCATGAACTAATCGTAGCTAAATCACGCGACTGATTTAGCAGCGATCACAACTCACAGCGCTTATTTCAATAAATTTTTACAAATGAGAAGGAAATAATTATGAAATTGCGAGAAAGAAGATAGATAACAAGAAAAAAAGTAAATATTCGAGAGAAGAGAAGAGAAAAGATGTTCGTTACATACTACTTTCTTTGTAATTTTGGGAAGAGTGGATGATTAAAGGACCGAAGGTGACTATAAAGACTATTAAAGAGTGGACACGACACAGAGAATCAGAGAGAGAGAGAGACAGAGAGGGTTTGCTTTTTTTCTTTTTTTCTTTTTTTTTTTTTTTTTCTTTTTTTTATCAGGCTCTCTGTGGAAAGGGAAAACTAAGGAAGCAGTATGTGAATGTGTAAGTAGACTGTTTGTGTACGCGGCAAAAGCTAATTGGGCTGTATTATACTTCCGGGAAAGCTTATTTACAAAATACTTTGAATATATTTTATTTTTCATCCTTTTTTAATAATATGTTATAGTTGTAATATTAAACTAATCGCATAATTTATGAAATAAAGTTCACGGAAACCACTCCGGGTTGGTCGAACGGACAATGAAGATTCTTGAATGTATTATTCAAGAGATCTTAAGGTCTATTTACTTCGACCCCTAATAAAGATAGTCAATAAAGTTCTTATCCGATCGAAAATTTCAAAACTTCAGAGGATTAATTGAGGGATAGCCACTAGAACTTTTACCTGATTGGTAGTTCTACAGCTTCGAAGAATTAATTAAGGTACGCACAAGTTAGTCTCGACACCTCGCTCATTAAAAAAATATCATGGAAATTTATCAAAAATATTAATAACTCTTTTAGAATCCATCAAATTTGTAGGAAACTTAACAAGGAAGGAAGAGATAAACCAAATAAACAATAGATGTGGTTTGTGGTTTCGTCATACATTAAAGGTTACTAAAGTTAACATTTATATATGCTTTATTTACTAGGAATATTAGCATCAAATAGGAATTTTCTCAGGGCGAGTTGCAATTGCCTATTAGTACAAAGTAATTAAAGTTTATCATATTCTTGACATTAAAATACAATAATGTCATTATATTTGGTTAATTAAAAATATAGATTTAAATTACCTCTGAGTAGCCAAATAGTTTGATACGAACATTTGGTTGTATTACTCAAGAGGTCCTGAGTTTGAATCTCTCTTCGAGTGCTAATAGAGTCAGCCGTTAGAGCTTTTATTCGGCTAATAATTTTAAGATTTCAAGAGATTAATTGAAGTACGCGTAAATTGATTCCCGATGATCAGAAATATATATATATATATATATATATATATATATATAAACAGAGAGTATATAAGTTGTTTGACAAGCAGTCATTTAGTCAATCTTTTTATAATAATAGAATATAACGTTTTGATGGCAAACCTAAGTTAGGAATGGGATGTTAGGATGGTGAATCATAATTTGGCCACTTAACAACTATACGAATAAAAAAGGCAATACCCAATTGTAAAGAAGGCTTTTTTTGCTCTTACCAAAAAGAAAAAAGAAAAATGACAACCGCTTTTTGTAAGGTAAATGAAAGAGAAGTTGAGGAAGAAAGGTATAAAGGGGCACTTCCACTACCATCCACAAGATTCCTATCTTGATGCCTCTTTGTGATCCTAACTCCAAAGAGCTTTAGAGAATGATCACTGTTCAAGATAAGCAGCATCTTTTTTTTTTAATTTTATAATTTAATACCCAAAATCAATACGATATCAAGGGGGATATTTGCTGATAATCACCTTTATGGTGAAATCACCTAGATTTTGTTCGATCTCCCAACAAAATGAAAAAGCATCACACGAAAATTGCATGTGGGAAAAGATAAACTTTATTTTCTTTGGCTACAAATTCTACTAATTTTTAGCTTTCCTATACTTTCATAACAGTATTCTAAAATTTTCTACAATAAAAATAGGTTGACAAACTCTTTCCACTAACTTTTTCTTAGAAATATAATGTGACAACTTAAAATTAGTCAGATGAAACCTATTTTTAAGTTGGCGAGATCCATTATAAACTGTCATATTGCATTTATGAGATAAAATTAGTGAAAAAAGTTTACCCACCTGCTATTACCCAATATTCTGAGGTGAAGTCAAAACAAAGATGTATTTATCAGGATGCGGGTTCTTATGGAACCTGATTTATGGCAATCACCTAATAGAAAATGACTAGGAAAATAGCCGCTGATTGGAGCCTGATTTCCTAGGTCTTAACAAACAATATTGACTTTTATTAGATTAAAGAATCGGCAAAGAAGTGGTTAACACTTCAAGCTTGCAATTATTTAAACAGAAAGATTAGCCATTTTGGAGTCAAAAAGTAAAGATGACAAAACTCCAAACCGCCTGCGCCCTTTCCTCACTCTCGAACAAAAAATGGAAAAGGACCAGTACTATACCAACCAACGACGAACACGGCTGTATAAAGCAAACTCAACACTTACCCTCAAAATCTTTAACCAAAATGATTACCATAATCTACTAAACTGCATGAATTTTTTGACATAAACAGAAACAACAGCAGCCATTGCACTCCACCCTTAGTGCTCCAACGGACGTGTATGTGCATTCATGCCGTGTGTGTTTGTCAGCTGCTCAAGCTGCAAATAATTCATGTATTTGTTTTGATCTCTCACTTGTAATAATTCCAGCATACAGCATACCTTGTCCGCCACGATAATAAAGCATACCTCATTTAACAGCGTATACATATATGTATTCTCTACATTTTACTTTCAAGCAATATGACAAAAAACTCCATCTTCAATATCGTATTTGTATATGAATGGCACAGTTGAAACAAAAAAAGGATCACAAAATTGATAAAATTGTGAAAAGAATGCAAGGAATCCCCTGCGAAGGAAAAACCTTTGAGTAAATTAAAAATTGATTTGCCAAATTGGGATTTATTAGTCAATTCTTGTTATTTAATCAAGCTTGCTTAACCAACTTCCCAACTTCTGTGTTAGCTTGTTTATCCAACTTCCCAACTTCTGTGTTAGCTTGTTTATCCAACTTCCCAACCTCTGTGTTAGCGGGTTTAAAGCTGAAAATACCACTGAGACCTCGTGCCCTGGCAAGCTGCTCCAATTCTTCAAGTTTTTGCCTCAGAAGTTCCACTTCCCTTGATAAATTTTCGTCTCTTTGCCTCAATGCCTAAGAAAGAGAATAACTGGGCTTAACAAACAGATAATTAATTTTCTGTCTAAGAAACTCAGGCTGGAAGGCAGCAACTAGCTGCTCCAATACATACAAAAGTTACCATGAATGCTCCACAACCAAAACCAAAATCATGTTAAAATACAAATGGCCCTCTTTCTTAAACAATTAAGTTATAATGTATCTTTTGTTGGAACCCAGGAAGCTGACAACAAGTGAGATGTAGATTTACATATCAATCATCATCAAATGAAACAGTGAATTTACTTTATTTTATTTTATTTTATATTATTTCAGGATCACCAAATAAAACAGTGAATTTACTTTATTTTATTTTATATTATTTCAGGAAAATAAAAACTTTCTTTCCATTGTACACCTATAGACTGAGAATTTGATATCATAAACAACGCACTTTCTTAGTGCATTAGAAATGCAATTCGACGTAGTGTTTCCCAGCTCCACCCCAAAAAGAAAGTAGAGATGAAAGTAGTGGGGAACATAAGAATTTATTCTGTTTTTAAACTAAAATATCTCACAGGTCTTATCTGAAGAACCTTATCTTTTTGGTTAAGCATCAAAGGAATCCTTTTTATTATGACGAAACCAACCTTATTTCTCCAATCTTAAACCATTTATATAAAAATATCTCAACCTCAGAACCAGTTTAGTCATAAAGAGCTTATTAGGTTTCTCAGGTGATATGCAATGTGCAGAATACATCTGTATGCAGGTACCCACAGTCGTTTGGCTCTAAAAGGGAAGCAACATAACATGTAGTGGGAATTTTAAACAGTTGTGATATGACAATGAGTGCCATTTCATACAAGAAAAATGAGACAGCAAAGTTACTTCAAGTTTGCAGTATTTTCTAGTCAGCAAATTTTGGCAAGAACTATCCAATTGAAAATAAAGCTATTCAGAGTCACAAAGTTCATCACTCTCGTTCCTTTTGAATGAACTTTGAAAGCAGAGAATAGTATATACATAATCAATGATCCCTAATTCAGCAAGGAACTACATTTAATCAAAGGGATATAATATCCACGCTCTCATTAATTTGGAAAACTATGTCCAGTTCTTAGAGTTAGCTTTAATAGCAAAAGGAAGTAAAAAATCATGATTCATTATCAAAATAATAGAAACTGGGAAGAGGTTGTCTTCATATCTATCAAAAGTTAATATACATTTAGAACAGAAGTACTAAACAAGGCCCATATGGTGACACAACATTCAAGAATTTTATCAAGGAACTTTTGTGTCAGTACCATAACACTAAAGGAAATATAGCAAGTGAAGATTTCCACAAGAAATGAAAAGAACATCATGATATATAGAAAAATTATACATAAGTTACCTCCAGCTCTTGTTTACGGATTTCCTCCTTTCTTGCCTCTGATCTAGCACTTCTATGCACCTCAAAGATCACAGCAGCGCCTGCAACCTATATGCACAGAAAATTGGGTGTCTCATGATTCACAAACAATCAATTCAAGTTCATTTGCCTTTTAGAGAAATTAACATATATATACAATCACTATCCCATGTCATAAAACCACAAAACCACCCACTTCACGCTAGTAACAGGACACAAAGTTGTGTTGATTTCCACTGTAATAGTGATAACATTTAAAGGCACCAAGACACTCTAAAGTTATATAAATCAGCTAATTGCCGACCTGCAGGCACTACGGAATAACAGTGCATGACATGCCAGAATTAAGAAATTAGTTTACTGAAACTACAGGAATTGGAGGACTAGATAAAGGAATCCCCAAAATCTAGTTTAAACTCAACAACCAAGTATTGGATACTTTCAAAAACTCCCGAATACCTTCCGCCCAGAACTAAACAGTAAACACAAAGAATGATCACCAAGCAGTAAGACTTTACCCAGTTTCCCGTATCTTAGACTCCCATGTATTCATCAACATTTCCACCCTCGTCTCATGCATGACCAGATGAATTCAAATTTTTTTATAGAAATGGACCAAACCTCTTATAGCAAGCACACAAAAAAGATGAAAGATGATCATGATCCACCTTTTTCTCACTCCAATTACACAAATAAAAACTAAGAATAACATTTTCCTCTTCACCACATCTTCAAATGTTAGGGCAAGAAAGAGCCATTGTCCAAGAAAAAACTAAGAAACTCTTTAATGACTCCAGGTTTCCGAACTCTCTACCACTACTAAATAACATGCAATGCCATTTTAAAGACCCATAAGGCTCCTTTACCTCAGTGGAATGGTCAAAGCATCTACACGTCCTACTGCAAGTACAAATACGTTTCCCTGCAACTACCCTCCCATGCCCCATCCAAACCCCTGAAAGTGATATAGCGACTACGAACCACAAATGTTAAACAAGATTATTGAATTACACAGAAACAGAAAGACATACTTGTTAAGCACATGCTTCCATTACTTGTTAAGCACATGCTTCCATTAGTACTTTCTTTCTTTTCTTCTGGTCTTTTGGTGTGTATTGTCAAAGCAGATAATACAAAAAGAAACACAGTAGCTCTTAAAAAGCCCACAAACAACAAGAAGAGTAGCAGGGAAAACAAAACTTACTGAAAAGATAAAGAGTTCCCCAATAAGGTCTACAGCAGCCTGAACAGCTTTCTCCTCATTCAATGGACGTATCTCAACATCAGTTGCATGACTATGTATGCGTCTTTGCATTCTTGTTGTGATTCGATGATTTGCCTGTTTTCAAAAAGTAATAACCAAGTCATAAAATTGATTTCTTTTCACTTCACACTCTATATAACCATATTCATTTTTGAAATAAGAATATAGTAAATGATATGAATCAATTAAATTAATCACATCCTCAGCTTTTCACTGAAACAGCTAAAAGACCAATTCTAAATTAATTGCAGAAATTATAAATGACGCTGCATGTCCTAACCACCTCTAAAACTCTCATATTATTTAAGACCTATGGATACTTAACTAGTTAGCCTCTCTTTGTCAACAACCAAATCTTTACTAAAATACCTAAATTATCATAATATGATATCGATGCGCAATAATAGCTCAAGAATTACTGAACTATCAACAAACAAATGTCAAGCTAACAAATAGCATTACTCAAATTAACTCTTGGCCAGTTCAAATTACAATGCAACAAAAGTCAAAATAGTTGACCTAGATAATTCTAGATAAAGAAACAATATAAAATCCAGCAAATTTCACAGAATGAGAAGAGATCATGAACTTCAATTAGCATCACACATACGAATAAGTAAAATGCGAAGTTACCTGAGCGATGTCGATGATGAATTGACGAAATCTAGGGTGGAAAGCAGCCTGTTGTTTGAGCTTAGCTGCCAACGGTTTGCTCAGCGTTTTTAAGACTAGCGTTCCCAATTTAATTACAGGCAAAACCATAACTACCTCTGTTCTCTTGAATTCGATCGATGAACTAATTGAGAGAAAACAAAATCAACTCTATAATTGATAATTGCCACTGGTTTGACTTGCTTATCAGATCAATTTCTTGATGAACAAGAGTCATTACAGACTATTTCATAGAAAACAGAAGGCTGCGGGGTGCGGAGAAATGGGAACGTTCATTTTTTTATTTTTGGTAAATACGTAGGAAGGTGCAGAGTTGTTGGAATGGCAACAGGATGACGTGGATTTTAACCGTGTAATGATTGGCTGATATTCCGCGGAATGCGTTGACTGTGGTCTGATTGGACAGTCCATGGATGTTTAAAAGTGTGTGAATTTTTCACCTTTTTATTAGGATAAATTTTGTTCAGAGGCAAGCCTGTCTATGACCAACTCAAACCAGTTCTAAGTTCTAACTATGATCTAAATTAAGACGGATTTTATTTATTTTAAGTCGTTAAATTATATCTTCATTAATACAATTATTCATACCACTTAGTGTTGATACGAAAATTCATATCAATCAGAGATACGTAGTCGACCTTGAAAGGAGTTAGATAAGACATACATGTGATGGTTACTAATAACGTATAAAGTCGATAAAACCAACATAATAAAGTAAAGAACAAAAGAAATTTTATAATGGTTTGGTGGTGTAGAAACTAAACCTACATCCACAATTATATTATTATTGGGGGAAGTTACAGGTCGAATGAGGTTACAAAAAGAAGTTCGCGAGTTAGATAGAGGGCATTTAGCTCTTGCGACCTATTTTCTCTGAACACTCTCTAAAATAGGTAAGTTTGCTTTTTCTCTTAAACTTTACTAATAAACTGGAATCGTCCCTTGAAGCGGAGGTTGTAAGCTTTTTTTATACTTGGTTCGTTTGACAATAGTTGAGAGTGAGTGTTATGAGGTTACTTGAACACATAATAATCAATGTTTATGACAGTAATCACCTTGTGAGGGAGACAAACATTGATGGAATGATATGTAGGAGGATCCTGGCCGTCAAGCTTTAATATACCTTAGGGATGCGTGGCACAAATCTAACTGTTAGGAAACTACTCACAACACTTCGCATATTAGATGAATAATCGATCATTTTATGTCATGTAAAACTAGCAAAAATTTATTATTGAATGAAGCTAGAGGTTAACGCCTGACTTGCATTTGGTGCACAAAACTTCTCATGTTGCTACTGTGTCAAATTATAAGAAATGGTAATTGAATGTCTATCTTCTCTACAGTTGCAATCAAGTCATGAGTAAAGAAACATGCATGTCTTGCTAATACTGATGAACTTGACTGTTCAAATAATGGGACATGAAACCTAGAAAATCAAAGTGCTATCATTCTGGAATCACCCTATTTTATTTTGTTAATGCATAGTCAAGCAGGATGGCTGTGTGAAAGAAAGTTTGGTTAAATTTCTTCTCTTGAGTAATGCAAAATTCATGATACATAATGAACCTTTAATTAATAATATTAATGTTCTTTCTATTCATAAATACAATAATCTTTCTTCAAAGAGAATGGATGTTTGATGGACACAATTATAGGTGATACCCAACTTCATTTTTACTATATTCATAATCTTTTGATTTTGTGCAACCAACCACCCTTTTCTGCATATTCTTCTCCTGGGTTGTATATCCCCATTTCTCCTCTGCTTACATAGGTAACAGAAACCCAAGTCTAAACCAGCAAAAAAGACCATGTGGTAGATTTAACATTGATTGATTTATCAGTAAGGCTTTAAAAGGGCATTGGGATTCTTGTCCTTGTGATTGTTAGCAAACTGAATGATACGACTGCTAAAAGCCAAGAAAAATAACAGAGCAATACATATAAAAGTTATTCAGTACGTTTGATCATGGATAGTACTTAGACTGAGTATTATTATACTATCAAAAAAGATTAAAATGATGCCATGACTGTGAATTGAGCCCAGCTGTCAGTCAGTCGACAACTACAGAAAGGAAGGAGAGAAAGTAATGGTACTTTAAAATAGTTCCGGCTGGTTTTGAAGTCTGATAACTTTTTTGTTGAAAGAGTAAGAATGAAATGTACAAAGCTTTGTTTTGTGTTTAATGCATCAAGATCATAAATTTTACTAGACTAATTGCCAAGGAAAAAGTATTTGATGTGAAAGTTATGACATAGATTTTATATGTTCAAAGTCAGCACCTCTGTTTCCATCAGTTAAGACATTTTTTGTAGGTCACTAAAATCTCTTCTTGTGACCTCCTCTGTATTCATGTATCTATAAATGAGGGAAAGCAAGGAAGCTGAGAAATACAGGCAGCCAATAGGCTTGTTTTTAAAGCATGGATTACTCCTCAAAGATGAGTCCAACTGCTTGATATCATTTGTCCTGTCAATGATGATCCATGGCACTTTCTAGGCGATTGGTTTCAAGGGAATGAACTTAATGCGTTTGAAAGAGCATATGGAATGAATTTCTAGGATTATGGGGAACAAAACCCTGATTTTAGCAAGCTTTTTGGTCAAGGTATGGCCAGTGATTCTCAAATGGGAAACTTGGTTATCAAAGACTGTAAGCCAATTTTTGAAGGGTTGGGTTCATTGGTTGATGTGAGGGGTGGAACCGGATCGTTTTCCAGGATCGTAAGTTGTTGCTAACTTGCCTGAGACTAGGAACTTAAAGTTTATAGAAGGAGGTATGTTTCAATCAATCCCTCCAGCGGACGCCTTCTTATTTAAGTCCTTACTCCAACAATGACAATTTTTAATCCTGAAATTGGGATAGTTTCTTTGTCGAATTCTACATCTCATTTCAGGTTTAGAAGTAAGCTGAATCTGTTTGCGTCTTTTATTTACCAATTCAAATCGTAGGCAAGTGATAAAGCAAACTGTTCAATGAGCTCTATAACAATGCCACGACAGAACATTAACATCAAAATCATGTATATGTAGACAATGAATAGTGTTTTAGTTTTCTATCGAGTTTTTTCTTCAGTGGATGTTTCATGCCTTCGGTGATGAGGATTGCCTGAAGATACTAAAAGAAATGCAGAGAAGCGATTGCAACTAAAGAAGGAAAGGTAAAGTTTATAATCATAGATATTGTGATAGATGAAAAGAAATATGAACATGAATTAACAGAATGCAAAGCTCTTCTTTGACATGTTGACGACGGTTTTTGTCACTGGAAGGGAGAGAATGGGAAAGGCCATTTTTGGAGGCTGGTTTTAGTCAATACAAGATAACACCCATGTTTGGTTTGAGATCCCTTATTGAAGTCTATCCATAGAATTCAATGTTTGCAAGCTCGATGGATAAGAATGTTAAAAAAATTCATTCCTGAAATTTCTTACTATCTTGAATGATTAATAATGGAGGATTTGTTCTCTCGAACTTTATTGTTATTTGTAGAATTTGCTTGTAGCCTTGTTTATGTCATTGTGTATTTTCTTTTTTTAAACTAATAATGAATTTTCAAACTAACCAAAACGATAGTAGAATTTTCAATTTTTTTTTTTTTTTATGAAGTTACGCACACCTCAACTGATCCTCAAGACTCTGGAACTAATAATCTCAACGAATCCTCTAGATTTGGGACTCTTGATCAGGTAAGAACTCCAATAATTAGTTTTTTTAATAATCGAAGAGGGACTCGAACTTATGACCTTTTGAATAATATATTTAAGAGTCTTTATCGAATAACTTGTAATGCGTTTGGCTTATTGTTTTTATCCATATTCCCAATACTATTTTTTAAATGTTGTTTGGCACGTTATTCCCAAAATATTAGTCTATTTTTTTAATTCTTGAGACCCTATAAGTTTATTAATTTCATTAAATACCTCCCATAAAAAAGTTTAAAAACTAACAAAAACACCCCCACCCACCAATACCTACCAGATTCCAGCAACCACCGCCGATGGTAGCCGGAATCTATCACAATAGTCTCACAGCCACCGAAAATAGCCAGTAATGGCCAGATCTGGCCGTCATTGACCGTCAATGACGGCCAAAGATGGCCATCGTTTTAACCTTTTCCAGCCATCGCAGCCACAACAGTTGGTAGATCTGGCCAGAAAAGGTCATAACGACGCGTTACGGCACAGGTCCGACCAGTCTGTGTCGTAACGAAGTTTTTTGGCCAGATTCTGGTGGTGGTGGCTAGAATCTAGCACTACAGATAGTGGAGGTGTTTTTGTCATTTTATATATTAGGGTCTTTAATTAAATTAGTAAACTTAAGGGCTTTTTCATAAATTTTTAAAATTTACCTCGTAATACTCCCTTATCCAATAACTCAATACTATCCCCAAAATCTTATCCAAAATAATAAACCAAACGTACCCTCGATCATCCATAAATAATTTAGAATTTTCAATATTGACGACGCCCAAATCGAGTGTCACTGTTGAGACAAGATTATGCAAAATCCAAGTTATTGGTCAGTGTAAAGTTCCATAACCCAACTCCATATTCAAAGTCTATCCATAAATAATTTAGAATTTTCAATATTGACTACGCCCAAATCGAGTGTCACTGTTGAGACAAGATTATGCAAAATCCAAGTTATTGGTCAGTGTAAAGTTCCATAACCCAACTCCATATTCAAAGTCTATCCATAAATAATTTAGAATTTTCAATATTGACTACGCCCAAAGCGAGTGTCACTGTTGAGACAAGATTATGCAAAATCCAAGTTATTGGTCAGTGTAAAGTTCCATAACCTAACTCCATATTCAAAGTCAAAAGTAAAATTTCTTTCAAAGGGTGAGAGTGAAACACGTGGTCCTCAGTGATAGGACCGTCTACATCATAGCTTTTAAAAGTCTCTTATTAGATGTGGAATTTGTGTACTGTTTGGCTCCCAGACGCAAGTTATCCACCTATTGTGGTCACTACACATGAAGTTGAAAAATGTCTTATCACAATCTTTCCACTATAAAAGCAATTAATCTGGATATTTTTTTGAAGACATTACACCAGTAGAGTGTAGAAAAAATTCGGGAGAAGTATGGATCCCAAGCATGGTGAGGGAGGAAGTAAGTTATTTCGAGCTCAATCTCATTTGTATAAGCATATATTCAACTACATAAGTTCCATGTCCCTTAAGTCTGCAGTTCAGCTGGGCATACCAGGCATAATTTATAAGCATGCTCGGCCTATCACACTTCCTGAATTAGTCACAGCACTGGAGGTCCACCCTGCAAAAAGTGGCAACGTATACCGGCTAATGCGCTTGTTGGTTCACTCAGGCTTCTTTTCTAAAACAAAGGTACTTACCGAAAACGATCAAGAAGAAGAAGCATACGCTCTAACCCCTTCTTCTAGGCTACTAATCAAAGATGAGTCCAATTGCTTGTCACCATTTCTCCTGTCAATGCTTGATCCAGCTTTTTTAACTTCATGGCATTCTTTAGGAGGTTGGTTCCGGGGTAATGAACTCACACCATTTGAAAGTGCACATGGGGTCAACTTTTGGGATTATGGTGAACAAAACTCTGAATTTAACAACCTTTTTGGTCAAGCAATGGCCAGTGATTCTCAAATGGTTAATTTGGTTGTTCAAGACTGTAAGCCAATTTTTGAAGGATTGGATTCATTGGTTGATGTAGGGGGTGGTACAGGATCATTTTCCAGAATCATATCTGCAGTATTCCCCCACATGAACTGCACAGTATTTGACCTCCCACATATTGTTGCTAACTTGCCAGAGAGTAAGAACTTGAAGTTTAAGGGAGGCGACATGTTTCAGTCCATCCCTCCTGCAGACGCTTTCTTATTTAAGGTACGCATTTTCTCTAGAATGATAAATTCTATCTGAAATTCTGAATTCAGTTGTTAGACACAATATATTTTAACTTAATTTTCTAATGAGTGATTGGCAGTTGGTTTTTCATGCATTTGGTGATGAAGATTGCGTGAAGGTGCTGAAGAAATGCAGAGAAGCTACTGCAAGCAAAGGCAAAGGAGGAAAGGTGATAATCATAGATATTGTGATAGATGAAAAGAAAGATGAACATGAATTAACCGAAGCAAAGCTGTTTTTCGACATGTTGATGATGGTTGTTGTTACTGGAAGGGAGAGAAATGAGAAAGAATGGGAAAGACTAATCTTGGAAGCTGGATTTAGTGGCTACAAGATAACACCTTTCTTTGGTTTAAGGTCCATTATCGAAGTCTATCCATAGAAAGAACAATTCAGAGTTCCAAGCTCAATATCACATGTTAAATAAAGCATTCATAGCTGAACTGCTTTGTTAACATTCAAGCAGTTACTTGAGGGTTTTTGAATAATGGATTTGTTTTATATTAAATATTGTTGTTGTTTGAAGTATCTGCTAGTAGCCCTCTTCGTGCTCATGTGTTGTTCTAAGTCTGAAAAATCAATATCTCTAGGGTGCTATAGCTTCAAAGAAGACCTCGTGTAGTCATGTTTTTATGGTCAACTGTGATAAACAGAGCTCATCTTTTTCGACGAAAATGATCCAGTCTCCACTAGAAATGCTTTTATGCTTACAAATTTTCCAAATTAAGGATACTTACATGAAATTCGAATGCTTGCACTCTGATGGCAACATTCCAGGAGCAAAATTGTTTTCAGTCATGAAATCACCTGATGTTGAAATGTGAAGCCACTTTCACATGGCTTGGCATGCAAGTAGCTCACAATCTTTGACAGACTGGTTTAGAAGCATGAATGGTAGTAAATTTGAAGTAAAAAATGGTGGGTTAGGTAATTTACAAGTGCAATAGTCTATGACCAAAGTTATGCAGAAGTTTTAAATGGTTGCAATATTTGAATTTGGTTGCAATATTTGAATGTGGCAATTGGAATATGGTAATATTAATTGATTTGGAGGTCATGGTTTCCTATAAATACCCTAGGACACTAGAACTACCAGTCGAGTAAGAACTCCAATAACCACCCCTATAAGAGGTCATCAACTAATCCCCTAAGACTCTGAAACTATCGACCGGGTAAGAGTTTCAGTGGCCACCCCTATTAGAGACCGAGGTAAATCAAACTCAGGACCTCTTGAATAATACACCCAAAAGTCTTAGTTGACTATTCGATCACCTAGTGGTGATTTATATCTTTTACTTTACTCTTATTTTATTATTTTTATATTTATCATGATTAAACATTTTTATATGCTTTATTCTTAAACATAATCATATTTGATATATGATAGACTTTGAATAAATATATTCAACATCTTCAGGTGTCAGCAATGCCTCAGCAGTAAGGCCATCATAAAGGAATTGTATTCCCGTCATGTCCACTGAAATTTGCAAGCCAAGCAAAGCATAAATTAAAATTCAACTGCCGTCATCTGAGAAAATCATGTAACTGAATTGAATATCATTGCATCCGTGTACCAATAAAATTTTATTATCATTTGTTTATTTGGAGTCAACAGAAATCCTTGCAAGACAAGGCCATATTTTCTTCTTTCTTTAACTAATGAAAGAGCCAGAGCCAATGGTTGGACGGCACTTATTTATGGTCAATCAGAAAAGCTTTATTTATGATTCCAGTTTAGCAGCCACGTTTGGATAATACAGTTATGTATTTCCTTACGTAGACAAATTTTCCATTTCAACTTTTCACCTATATAAGCACAAACTGAGGGATCAACCCCCATCAATAGAAGCAAACCTCACAACATGGATTCAAATAATCAAGGCCACGGATCTAGTGAGTTTTTTCAAGCTCAGACTCAGATATACAAACATGTATGTCATTTTATGGATTCCATGGCACTGAAATGTGCAGTCCAATTAGGCATTCCTGATGTAATCCACAACCACAACAAGCCCATTAATCTCTCAGAGTTGGCTTCTGCACTTCAAATTTCTCAAACAAAAACAGATTGCTTGCAGCGCCTCATGCGCCTATTGCAGCACTCAGGTTTCTTTGCAACAACCAAGATTGTTGAAGACCAAGAACAAGAAGGGTATATACTCACACCATTTTCTAATCTCCTGGTGAAAGATAATGTTGCCAGTTTATCGCCTGTCGTTCTAGCCCTGCTGGATCCTGTGCTAGTGAATCCTTGGCATTCCTTGGCGAACTGGTTTCAAGGAAATGATCTTACACCATTTGAGACGGCCCATGGAATGAGCTTTTGGGACCTTGCGACGCAAAACCTTGAATTTAGCAGCAGCATGAATGAACTAATGGCCAGTGATTCTCGGATAACAAGCTTGGTTATTAGAGATCATAAGGAAATTTTCCAGGGGCTGAATTCATTGGTTGATGTGGGAGGCGGCACAGGAACTCTGGCTAGGAAAATTTCTCAGGCCTTCCCTGAATTGAAATGCACGGTCTTGGATCTCCCACAAGTCGTCACTAACTTGCCAGAGAGTGAAAACTTAAAATTTGTTGCAGGTGACATGTTTCAATCTATCCCTTCAGCAGATGCAATTGTCATCAAGGTATGCAACTTTTCTCTTTTAGTTGTTTAGAATATTGCTTAGTCTTTAATGTTTTAGTGCTGACAATCGATGACCATTACATTTACAGTCAGTTTTGCATAATTGGAGTGATGAGGACTGTGTAAAGATTTTGAAGCGTAGCAGAGAAGCTATTGCAAGTAAAGGTAAGGGAGGAAAGCTTATTATCATAGACATGGTGATCGATGACAAGAAAGAAGAACACGATAGAACCAAAACAAAGCTCTTTATGGACATCACGATGATGGTTATGTGTAGTGGAAAAGAGAGAAAGGAGAAGGACTGGGAAAAGCTGTTCTTGGATTCCGGTTTTAGTCACTACAAAATTACAGCTACAAGTGAGTTAAAATCTATCATTGAGGTTTATCCTTGAGAAGTGCACTTGTCTCCGTGTTTTGTAAGCTTCAGATGATTGTCAAATGAATAATGTACAATAAGCTTGATGCAATACCTTGCTTGCAATGGTGACTTGAATATTAAAATCGAATTTTGTTTTCTTTTCTCAATTCTCATAACAACTTCATAGAGTGTGTGATTTCCTTTGCTGTTCTGCGTGTTATGAATTAAGGAAATTACTTATAAGAACATAATTACTTGTGTTAAACATACAGTACTTTAACCTTGAATCCAGACTATCCAGTTGAATTAAAAATGCGTTTCAGGTCAATTGAGAAACCTGGAAAGATTAACGAACATGTGAAAAGACTGAACTGGTTGAAGATCAATTAACCTTGAATGCTACTAAAGTAATTGGCTCAATGGCTAAAGCTAAGCAATGGTTTTTTGAGCCCAAATTCTAAGCAATAACTGATATCAGATGTCTCATCAACAGTGGACACTTATGGTCAACATATATAACCAGATTAGAACTTCAACAAAAGCAAGTAATTAATTTGTAGTCATGTATGATGCAACATCTATAACTTAGCCATCAAAATGGTCGGTTAGGACTCCTAGCTCATTTTGGAACTGTCAAACTTGGAATGAGAAATCTTTCATATATATATACATATGTATGGTAGTAAGCTTGCTGGCACCCCATAATACCAATAATCTCCCCACTGCAACTACCCTAGGACTCTTTGATACCAGTTATAGGATCAAGCACTTACCACTACGCCAAAAGCTATAGTTGATAGCCTAGGTGCAACTTTATTTCCTTATACACTTGGCAGCGCAGAGCCCCATCTTTACGTGGTGGGTTCCCAAAAGGTGCTGCGCCATAAGCACCACAGGTAGGGCGGTCAGTCCCCATGCCAGTCCCCCATAAGACTGGCCCGAGTCAAAGGGAGCTTGCTGGTATCCTATAATACCAAGTGTTGATACAGAAATCTGCACTAACCAGAGAATTCTGATCGACCTTAGCGGGATCGGAATGGATGTGCGCGTGATTACGGATAATCAGTGATTGACAAATATTGAATGCAATAAAGTAAATGGCAATGAGAGTTTTCAAAGTGGTTTGACGAGGTAAACTCTTAAGTCTACGTCCACTGCTTTTTGTATTTGCTGTAAGAGATTGCAATGAGAATTCTGTCAAAATTTTGTAACCCTTTTTCCATCATTTCAGGGGGGTTATATACAAGGTTTGTATAAAGGAAAGAGCGAAAATAAAGGGATTACAATTGATCTAAACTGCAATTCCGATATTCTCGCAATTGGGCGCTGTGATTGCATAGAGATTGCTTTGATCTAGTCAATCCCACGATATCTGGGATCTGAAGTTATCTGGGAATTAATTGAATGATCATTCAGGTTGTTCGCGACTGGCTTGTGCTGGGTCGGGCTATATGTCGACAAGCTTATGCTGGGTCAGACAACTGGTGGAGTCAGACTAATCCTAGGTCAAGCTACATCCTCACAGTAGCCCGAGCTTGGTGGAAAAATCACACACAACATCTGCCCCCTAGTGTTCGATGCTCATTTCGAGCTTCGAAGACTATTGCTCGATTTGATACTAAGCTCGCCATTAACAACAAGTCTCCGGATGCAAGTTCGGCCGAGCTCCTAGGGTTGACCTTATGTCCAATCGACGTGCTTCACACTTATTTACTTCCTGCAATACCTGTTGAACTGAGAATATGAAAAGTTAGGGCAAATATGTAATTTTCATGTGGTCATGTCGCATTAAATACGGCAGCTTTTGTTAGTCATGCTTCATCGCCCGTGGGCATCTACTACTGTCCACGCACAAAGTCGAGGTGATGTGCGGCGATGGTTATCAGTGCAACAATCGGATGGTTCGTCGCCCCTCACAGATGGATGACACGTGGCCACGTCTAAGGGTCAAGATTGTTTGACAAATGAAAGGTCGAGATACACTGTAGATCAACGGCTGCGATTAAACCCTGCCCTTTTGTCTTCCATGCAAACCACTATAAAAGGTGGTGAAGTCGTTAGAATGCTCATTCAGTCCACGAAAGTTTTCTGACACCTTTGTTCACTTTGCTACTGCTTCGTCATCGTCACGGTGCTCTTTTTGGTGAGTTTCTATTCTTCTTTTATTCCGGTAAGGTTCTTTTCCTTTTCTTTTATTCCAGTAAGGTTCTTTTCCTTTTCTTTATCCGTTTTTCCAACTTTCGCATCAAAGGATGGCTAATGTTGTGGCCACATTAAATGTTTAGGGCTTTTGTAGGGTTTTTAATGCATCTCTGGTGATCCTAGGTTTAAGGAGGGCTTAACGCAGTGGCCATCAGAACCCCAAGTAGGTCGCGTGCATTCATCATGTGGCGCAAGCTATCCTAGGTGCCTGCACTGAAAGCAAGTGTGAAATGATCACCAAGTTTTTTGAGCTCTGACACATGTTCGCTTCTGTTTCAGGTACCTAGAAGCGATCTATAACCATGTCTTCTTCCAGCAGTCACACAATCGATTGCATGTTTGATTCGCCCGCAAGCTCGACAGTCCTTGTGTATTCAACTCTTGAGGTCCGAGGAAATCATCGCGCGAAGCTTGGACCCCAACACGGTAGGCTCTTCCGACCCCTCGATATAGTTGACTCAATCTAGGCAGTCTCTAGTTCATAGGCTGCGAAGAAAGCCACAATCCTCGATCACCGTCTGGGATTTGGAGAGCATAAGAGCGGTTTATGCACCGCAACTTAATTTGATGGTTTCGGTGGACTTTTCTCAAAAGAATCCCCTGCCCGGATGGGTGGCGATCTTTGAGACCATCCGAAGATGCAAGGTATCCATTCCCCCTCATCGTTTTGTTGAAAAAGTGCTGAAATAGTTCGACATCGTTCCTCTCCAACTATCTGCAAATTTGTATGTAATTATCATTTCTCTGTACATAGCGTATATGATCGCTGAATTGGGTAAGCCATCCGTCAAGGAGCTTGTCCATCTGTATAGGCTTAAGAAAGGGCAAGACTAGACATACTACCTTTCCAAGGTGAGGAAGATACGTTTCAACAAGCTGGTCGATGTCCCAAAGAAGGTCTCGCACTAGGACTCACAATCTTTCTTCTACGAAGCCCAGGAGACCAGCGCGTTCACTTAGAAATCAAGTAAGACTTCGAATTTTTGTGCGTACGAGGATTGCTTTCGAGCTTTGTGTTCTAGCTAACTGAGTTGCTTTGTTTTGCAGTTAACGTCGAACAGAACTATCTCCCTATCGCGAGCTTGTAGAGGCTCCAGCATTTCAGGGACCTTCCTGATGGACAATGTAGCGTTAACGAGATCATTACGCTCCCTCGCCTGCAAGCATACAATTTCTGTTGGGACAATGCCAGATTTCTTATGATTTTGGAGAAAGGTTAAGTTATCGTTTACTCGCACTTTTTTCCTATGCAGATAAGTCGTTCACTATTTGTCACTTTTTTTGCAAAGATATGGGCTGAGAAACTAAAAGGCCCAAAAAAGAAGACTGCAGCTTCGGCGACTGCTAAGAAAACATCGGCTGCTTTGGCGACGAAGCTGCCCACTGACGTCACTGGCATGAAATGCGAAGCGAAAAAGCCCATGACTGCCCTAAAGGCAATTGGCGGGAAGAACGTCTTCGAGCCCTAAAAGGGGTTGGTAAAGAAAACACTCAAGCTGATTGGAGGCTCGAGAAAACAAAGGACACTCGAGCAGTAAGATAGCTCAAGTAAGAAGAAATCGACCTAGCCTCTAGAGGGCTCGGGCAAACAAAAAGTGGTCGAGCAGCAGGTTGGCTCAGGCAAAGAGGTTGCCATGCATGCTAGAGACCTAAAGAAAGTAGCAACCAAGGACTTGGCCAAGAAGAAGTCCACCTCTGTGGGCAAGGCTGGCACTAGAGGTGTTCAAAAGAACCGATTGGAACTGGAACCAATGGATACCCAAGGTTTGATTCCGATTCCTACCCGGAACCGACTGCCAACGGGTAGGTTCCAGTTCTAAATTTTTGGAATCGTTACTGTGTGATTCCGGTTCTAGTTCCTATAATTAAGAATCAGAACCAGGAACCAAGACTAATATATAATAAAATTAAAGAGTAGGGGGGTTAATAAAAACTTTTGTAGAAAAAGTTATGTGAATACATTTATATTTATATTTCATAACATTTAAAGTAAGTTGGTTTGACTTTTGAGAATCTACCTTTACAAAGTAACGGAGTTTGTAATTTTGAATTTATAATTTGTAATTTTACTTTTGTTAACAAGTGTCAGGTTGGGGGGCGGGTGTTAGTGTATATTAGTGTATGCCCTAGAAACCATTCGTGTTGTCGGTTTCAGAGCATTTTGTCTTGTATCTATATATATATCATAAATAATAGAAGAAAGAGTTCTTCAATTCATATATGTAAATTGCTTCCTTTATTCAGTCATGCATTTAAAATAAAGTATGTATATGAATTGTCCAGATGATTCATTTAATAGGTAAATGAATTATCGAAAAGGGTTCCCTACGGAAGCAATATAAATTTGGGCAACTATATTGCACAGTAGGCATACCGGATGCTTCCGAAAGATATCATGAGTTGATATAAGTACGGATGACGATGATAGTCATGTCACTGGGGCATTGGTATGGATTAACGGTTGGTGAACTGTTTTTCGAACGTGACCGAATAACGACAAATCACTTGGAAAAGCATGTAGTCAATGATTTATCGTTTGGTTATATCAGTGCACGATGTAGTCCTTTGACCTGAGACATTGTAGTCGGATCCGATATGGATGCGTATGGTTCATACGGTGTATAAGTACGAGACTAATCATGTTTCGTACAATAAAGCCTATTTGGTCATGCGTTGTTCATATGCGGAAACGAACGATGGTCAAGAGGGGATCCATTGACTCGGAAATATAGGATCGGGAGTACCGCTGACTCCATCCGGATTCGAGTTCCTAGACGAACATCGATAAATGTCGGAAAACTGAATCTCTGGCCAGAGTCTATTATTAGTCATACAAAAGTAAGTTTGTGATGACAAGTTCCGGACATATTGATCGACAATTCGGTAGAAGATCGAGTTTAGGATTTTGACGTTCCATGAATCCATACTCGATTAGGATATCTCAATGGAGGGACTTTACCTGCATGGTACGTATGATCTGAAATGGGTTCGATGAAGTATTTCTTCATCGTGGTTTAGGGACTATGGCACATTGCTAGATGTTTACCATAGTCGTTGGGCCTCCGGACAGGTTTCCGGATTCATCCAGAACCGGCTCACGGCTAATCCACGGTGGACCTACATGGTCACACCAATAGCCTTGAGAAGTTAGAGAAGGATGAGAGAGAGAAATGATTATCCGAAGAGGGCTAGCACCTTCCGAGGGTAATAACGGGATTTCTATAGTAATAGTTACATAGAAAACAATTTGTGACATTTTAAGGGTTAAAATGGTCAAGCAATAATTAATTATATTTAATTATTATATCTTAAAGTGTTAAGATTAATGAGATGAACAAAAATAACCTTTTAATAGTTAAAGGGTAAAAAGGGTAAATTTATGGGTTGTTAATGTAAACTAGTTTAGTTTACATGGGCCCTTGAATAATATTGATTATTCAAAGGGTAGCATATTAAATTCGTGGGGTCCCTTTATAAAATAAGATTTTATTGGGCTTGGAAGTGAAAAATAAATAATTGCAAAATAGCCCAAGTATATATAAGTGCAAAAGGTTGCATTTTTGTTCATTATTCACTTGTTCACTCAAACACAAACTAAAAGCTCTCTCTCCCTAGCCAAGGCCACTCTCTAATCCTCTCAAGGTGGTGTTAAAGTGTGGAGGTTTCATCCTTTTGAAGCTAATCTTCATCAATCCAAAGCAAAGGAGTAGGTATAATCTCATATCCAAGCTTTGCATGTAAACCGTTTTTTTTATCCATGCTTTCATGCTTTCATTCTCCATCTCCACCACTCTTCATGCATGCTGATTCTTACAGCGTGGGGGGAGGGGGTGCATTTGTAAGTTTTTAAGGGTTTTTTTGCCATTTTAAAAATTTTAAGGGGTAATTATAATTTTATAGGGTACCTAGAATCAGAATCGAAACCGTTGTTACAGGTTCCTGTTTTAGGTACCTAGGAACCAAAACCATCGGTTCTGATTCTAGTTCCAAATTTCAAGGAACCGTCAATTTCAGTTCTAATTCCTTAAAAAATACAGGGTACCCGAAACCAAACACCCCTAGCTGGCACTGCCAGGGGGAGTAAATCTAGCTCGTCTCAGCCAAAGAATAAGAAAACGGATGAAGCTGCCCAAGCTACGGTCGATGCGCTGATCGATCAACTCCCTGACCATATTAGTGTTAGGGCCGCAACAACTAGGATGGAATCACCCAGCGAACCTTCGTAGTCGTTAGAGATGCTGTTTCAACTGAGATGATGGCCTTGGTGTGCAGCTATGCGGCGAAAGTACCAGTAGTTTGCTTCTCTTTTCTTTTACTTGCATGCTATCCTTGCTTCTTGCTAACTTTCCATCTTAACCTTTTTAGGCTGCCATAGTGAGTAGGCTTCTTTATGATGAGTGTTATGTCATCTTGGAGGGCACTCATAAAGGATGGCAATTGGCAAAGACAGTGAAAGAGGATGTTTTGGCCAAGGCCGAGGTTGCAGAGAAAGAAAAAGAGGCCAAGTAGGCTGAGCTCGAATAGCTCAGGAGAGAAATGGCGACCTTCGGGGTCAAGGAAATGGAGTTCCTTGACAAGCTCAACGCGAGTAAGGCTGCTCAAGCGAAGGCTGAAGCTAAGGCAGTTGAAGCCGAGAAGAATTTGGCACAGCAGCGAGGTGCCAATAACAAGTTAAATTTTAAGCTTTCCTCAACTCAAAAGGCTGCCTCGGACTGGGAGACCAAATCTAAGTAGCCCTCACTTGACCTTGTCCAGGAGGCGAAAGGTCGATGGAAGGCCGAAGTTGAGGCCAAGCAACTCAGACTTCAAATTGAGGAGCTGCACGAGGCCATCACTACTTGGGTCTGGCACCTTGTACAGAAGTTATGGGAAGCCCACCCCTCGATCGAATTCTCTTTCCTTCCATGAGCTTATCAGAAGGAAGTTGAGAGAATGAAAGTTGAAGCCCAAGGAATGGCTTACATGTACTCGGATGACTTTGAGGACGATGGCGAGGGCTAGGAAGAGGTCGAGGTCGAGAAAGGCGAAGAGGGAATCGAGCTCAAGCTCGAAGTCAAGGATCTGATAAGAGCTTGAAAATAAATATTTTGTTAGTGATTCAATTAGATTATTTGTGGAAAAATGTGTTTAATTTGTGAAATTTGAGTTAATTATTTCATAAATACCTTTTATGAGATCACAAGGTGTATTTTGAGTATTTTCAGGTTAAAAATGATATTTAAATGAAGAAAAATTATGTTGATGGATTTTATGACTAGTAGGAACAAACGGTACAAGAATCGGAGTTGAAACGAGAAAGTTGTGACGCGTTGAAGATGAGAAAGAAAACCTGAAAATTTGTCAAGATGAGCATGCTTCAATGTTTTTATCATAACTTGAGCTGTAGAAATCAGAATTTGATGATTCTTGTGGCGTTAGAAATATTATTCAGAGAGCTAAAAAGTTTGTGTTGATGACTTTTCCAAATTCGGAAGATTCCAGACTCGTGGGATAGAAAGAACGATAGCTACAGCGACCATTTTTGTCATCGCAGCAATGGATTATGGGCCTGTTTGGGTTACTGTATTTTCCTAGTCTGAATCTGAATGGTTTAAGGCATTTAATTCTTCCCTAATTAACCTCAAGACCCTAGCACTATAAATAAGGGTCTTTATTTAGTTTTTAGAGAGTTAGAGAAGGAGAAAGAGCAGCTACTATTTTGGATATCAGAATTCTTGCAGTTTTCGTTCACCAATAGAGAAGTTTTTCTATTTTTTTTCTTGAACTCATGTTTTTTAATACAGTGGTTGTTTTTATTACTGCAATTATGAACTAAACTCCTTTTCTATGGCTAAAGATGTAGCCCAATTTTTGAATATGTGTTGACGTTACTGTTGTTAATTTAATTGAGCATTAATTCTAAGTTTTATTATTGTATGTAATGCTTTCAATTCTTTTGGATCCGAGAGTTGAATGATTTTATGAGTTGGGTTGAGATCGAGAGATGAAGTCTGATTAGTCTAAGGTAATAAAACCATAGATTGAGCGAACGCTAGAGATAGGTTACTGCGATCTGTGAGGCTTTGGTAAATTCCATAGAACTTAATGATCTCTTAGCTTCTAAATCCAACTTAGAGATATTTTGGGTTGTTGCTTAAGGGTTAATTTGCTAATTGTTCGAGAGACAGTTAGTGGAATATTGGAGAGTTTGGCCTTTAGAATAAGTTTAATTAGGTTAGCAATAATTGTTAATGCATAGGATTTAATTTGTGGGAAATCTATGCCCTAGGTTTAGTTATATTGATCTTTTTACCAAAGTATTAATACAATTATGCTTTTTTTTAGTTTTTAGTTTGTTTTATTTTTCATTAAATGCATTCTTAAAATTCTGTTTCAACAAATAGCAATAAAATAGACTAAGTTTGATACTTGGTAGGTAGTTCTCTTGGGATTTGACACTCGTTTACTCGAGCTTTACTACTTGCACGATTTCGTACACCTGCGAATAGCCTGTCAAGTTTTTGGCACCATTGCTAGGGAACTATTTTTTTTACCAATATCAATACGAAATATTTAGTTGCTAATTTGATTGTTTTATTTTTGCTTAGAAATTAATTTTTCTTTTATTTTCTTGTGATTGTTTCTTTTATTTAGATCCTGGAGAGCTTCCTTTCAAAAGGTGGTGGTGATCTTAATCCTTTTGATTCTGAAATCGAGAGAACGGCTAAACAGTTAAGGAAAGAAAAGAGGTAAGCTAGCTTAGAAAAATCAATGGCTAGTAGGGGAAATATAAATCCCAATGTGGAAAATCAGGAGAATGAGAATGAGGATATCGCAGGAGGCAATGCAACTGGTGGAGTAGTAGTGGTTCAAAGAGCATTGAAAGACTACTCTAGTCCTACTGTTGATGGGAGCTATTTTAGCATCAGGAGACCACCAGTTCAAGCGAATAATTTTGAGATCAAGCCAGCAA